CTATTCAGCTATGGGTTAAATTGTAGTATCTGGAAAAATCATTGCTCTCTTAAAAAAATATTGTTAATGGCAATATTCACTCGTAAAATAGAATTATTCTTGCTATCCCCAAAATGTTTTGGCTTTAAATAAACCACAAAGGATTGATATACCGTAAAAAAACACAAATAAATCAATCCGCAATTGAATTAAAATATACATGCGAACACTCAAATATAAACAGACACATTTGAATGGAACTAAAATGGATTACTGTCTTGCGAAGTTTAATTTCCCTTTTTGTCTGGTAACAACCCCTGAATGACAGGAAAAGAGTATAAGTCGAAATGTGTGGCCCTTTGACGTGATTTTCATGACTTTTTCTCTATTTAAACTGAATATATATTTCTAACTCTAGTATTTTAAATAAACAAATAATTTAGATTTGTAATTATATCATGGAAACGACAAATACCGAAAATATTTACTTATGTGTCCTGACCCTCTAATCTATATCCTCACATATATTTTTCTTTTTCGAATTGAACCCCGAAAACTCTGACTACTTGACCGCATCTTTTTTGCTTCTTCTTCAATGTGCCGTGTCCATTCAAGGGATAAATTGATCAAGGCTTCCCACAATTGCCTGTCCTTTGTAAGTCCCGAATAAATTTGATCTTTTTGTGATCTCTGCCAACCATTTACACAAACTCTTTAGATAGGCTATGACGCTGCTTTCTTCTGTCTTTCTTACCTTTAATATTTCCTATGAGCGTCAAATTCTCTAAGCCTACTTTTCTCATTGTGTCGAAATGTCAACTGTATCTTTCTGATGTTAAGTAAAGGGTGTTCCAATAACTTGGACCGATTTTAAATGTGAGTCAAGTTTAAACGTCCAATGATTTTTTTTCTTTCAGATTTGGCGGACATTTAGAAGATATTATTTTTCACTCATAATTTCCATAACTGAAATAACATGATCCAAAAGAGAAATAAATCAATTTTCACCAATAACACTGATTTATTTTCTGCTGACTTTGATCCGTCTTAATGAAACACCCTTTATAAGTGTTCTTTTAGTTTCCATTTTCGCTAAAACTTCGTCATTGCTCATATGTTCAGTTCATGACATTCTCAGCATCCTTCTGTAGAATCGCATTTCTCTTGCCTCCCATGTCTTCTTCATCTCTGAGGAGATTGTCCAGCATTCAATGCCATCTAGGAAATTAGATATCGCATAACAGTTCAGTACTCTTTTCTTTCTTTCTAACACGATTTTCCTCTTTCTTAATACTTTCCTTAACTTTTAGAAAGCATCTTTCGCTCTCTCGACACGCCTTCGCATTTCGGTGTCCACCTTTAATATACATTCAAGACATTTTATTAAAAAAAAAAAAAAAAACTAAACAGTATTTAATTAAAAAGAGGTAATTCTCTATCACACAGTCTGTACATATATATATACATATATATATATATATATATATATATATATATATATATATATATATATATACGTATGTCTGTGTTGTACATGAGTGATTGGCATGCTTTGTCATTTAATGTACACACACAATTTAACTGAGTTTGAAATAAAACATTGGAATAATACATACTTCTCCCACTCAGTCTACACAACCCCTACCCAAGGCTGAGCAATAAAATAAAATTGGAGATTTAATTTTTTTAAACTCTAAAATATCAGATATGAGTAGATTTTATTGAACTTTAAAAAATTATTCAGTAAAAAATAGAATTTAGAAATAATTTAGGCTTTTAATTAAATTGAAATACACACACACACACACACACACACACACACACACACACACACACACACAAATTTAGATAGACACAATCCGAAAGATATTGAAATGGGCATCTAAATTTCCCTGTCTGACAACAATGCCTGGATAACAGGAAAAGAATAGAAGTTAAAAGACATGACCCTTTGCAGTCATTTTTATGACTGCTTCTGTATTTAAACTGAATATATTTTCTAATAAACGTAGTACAGTGGAACCCCGGTTCACGAATTTAATTCGTTCCTGAAGGCCATTCGTAATCCGAAATGTTCGTAAATCGAAACTATTTTTCAAATAGGAATCAATGTAGTGCAAAAAAAAGTCACAGTACTATAAAATTGGAAAAAAGCACAACACACGAATGTAAACAACACTTAATTCTCTCTAGTCTATTTGCCTTTGTGCTCTTTGTCCGCTTCTTTCACTGAACAAGAGTATGTAACTTTTCCACACTACCCGACTCAGAGATTGAACTCACAACTAACAAGTACAGTCTCTTGGTGTAAATTGATGTCATTTTGAAGTCTTAAACCTAAAGTCTATACTCATGTTTTGGGAATTTTGAGTCTTTTCTTTTTTAATCAGAGATTTCCAGAGGGTATTCATGTCTATTGTATTCAATACTCAATGGTATTCATCTCAATCGTATTCAATACTCAATGGTATTCATCTCGTCTACTGAGGAGGTTTTCATAATAATACTACACGGCGGTCGACTCAGAAATGATTCCGCATTATTATTATTGTTGTTGTTGTTGTTGCTGTTTATTTCCTTTGGTTCCGGTGTATACTCGTTTCTTTCCTGGTCTCGACCAGAGACCTAAGATCAGAAATGGCATCATGGCATTTTCCACTGTGTATTTTGAAAAAAAAAGTCGCACATATTTTGCGCAGATAATCTCCTTCGTATGGTGTGAGCTGTACTTGTGAATACAACTTTTTGCATTTCTTCTTCTTCTTCTTCTTCTTCTTCTTCTTCTTATTATTATTATTATTATTATTATTATTAACCCTAATTATATTTAATCTATGGGGAACACTGTTCTCGTTCTACTGCTTATGATATAGATATCGTCTAGTTGTTAATCATTAATTAGTTCTGTTCAATTATTGCTCACCCGTTTCCATTGAATGGACCTCGAGTTACAATCACTATGTCACCAGATTCACAATGCTTTTATTCACTGGGCCATTGATCCGCACTTGGGGATTTAAACTTAACCTGCCTGCTGATTAGGTTGCAACTGCTACTACTGCCCTCTGCAATGTTTTTAATTGCTGCTTCTGTCCATGTTTTGATTGCTTCTTTCACTGAACCAGAGTATGTAACTTTTCCACACTACCCGACTGTTTTTTAATTAAATAATGTTTAGTGCGGAACCACCTCTTAATTACTGTCGAAGACCTGCTGTAATTTGTCTTTCTTTTTTTTTTCGGTGGCTCCCATATTGTATTTATTACTACGCTTGGCCTACTAAGAAGATCTTCATAGATTAGCATTGGTGCATCTCTGGGTCTGGCGCACCCATTACTACAGGAATTTATTTTCTATATTCAAGTTCCATATTCCCTAGCCACGTCCTGGTATTTTGCGATCTTTTCAGTTTCTTTGGAGTCCACTCTTTTATCGTATGGAACAGAATATCAATAATTTAGAACTTGCTATTCTCCTTATCTATAATAATAATGCTTCGGTGGCACGATCTGTTTGAACTAAGAAATCTCAACTTACCTTGAGACTAGGGCAGAATTTTCCGTTAGGTTTCTATAGGCACCAGCCTAGGGCCCCTCAATCTTTTATAAAGCAATGATTTTAATTTTCTAGATGTTAAAACTTCTAAATATTTTTGTAAACTGAAATGATATCAATATTTATATTTCTTTTTATTGTTTTATTGTTATAATGTTGGTTATAAAAAATCTGTTTTTGTTTTTATTACGGTTGTATTGAAATATGTGCAAATTTGGTTTGCAATAAATGGTAAAATAGTGGCATTTCTTCAAGAATATTTTTTATCAACAAACAAATGAGAACTATTCTAGTTTATTTAAAGAATTTACAATAAGTTTACTTCAAGCTATTTAAATGTCGCTAAAATATATCACGAGTAAAGTTATTCAAGAGGGGTGTGAGCGAGTTAGAGAGTGGCTACGTCTGAGGTCGGGGGTCATAATTTCATTAGGCAAACGGCCTCAAAAGGTCATAATTCGGCCCTGCTTGTGACAATCATTTGCTACCACTGCTTATTATTATTATTATTATTATTATTATTGTTGTTGTTGTTGCTGTTGTTATTATTATTATTTGTATATGTTATGTTTCCTTCTTTGTATCCTGTAGAGCCAGGTCCAAACTGTGGTCCTTCGGCCTTATAGGAGAATTGTCATTTAATTAATCTGGTGCTTTTGAAACCATTTTTCTTGCCAAGGTGGGCAGTAGTCATCTTTGCAGACTTTGAAAGAGCATAGGCTTGCATGGATATACTTTAAGCGCCTTGATTGTAACCTATATCTCTTAAAAAGCATCTTGTCCAAGAGATTATAATAATTCTCTGCATTTGTTTTGAGACAGTTATCAACTTTGAAGGGTCAGATGATTTTAATGCCTACAGATGATAATTCAAATTGTTATTCCTCATTCCTAATTTTTAAAGTCATGTTAGTTGATGTTGTGGTGTCCTTCCTCTAAAAGTCTATATTAGACACTTCGCCTACCATAAGTTTCGTAGGAGAGAAGGTTCAGGGAACAGTAAAGCTAGTTCATTCGAGACACTCTTAAGAGTCGTGTAATACTCTTCTGGTGTACTAAATCATTTATTGAAGAACAACCATAATGCCCATTCAATATAGCTCTATATACATCACCATTACTTTTGAGAAAATCAGTTTTCTTGTACTACTTCTCCCAATTTCTCTTCGAAATCTTTACTTTAAAATGTTTTTTTTTATTGATTTGTGTTCTTCGGCTTATTAATGCAGATTATTTAAAGCCAGAAATATTTTCTTAAGATTGTAAGAATTTTTTTTCTTTTTCGAGCGATAATAATGATTTAGTGATACAAGTCTTACTAATTAACCCATAGTTGGGGGAAGGAGAGGCGGATTCATATCTTTCTCGCGTGTGAATATAACGAACCTAACTGAAATTAGAACTCGGCTCTCCGATTAACAATTCCGAGTCATTATCCGTTCCACCGTACGCACTCCTAAGCTTAAAGCACCTGGTATTCTCATATGGTCACCCATCTAGGTATTCATCAGACCCAATGATGCTTAACTTCGGAGATCGGAGGAGAGTGATATAGCTATAAGGCACGAATATCTTCAGTTGCTCTACCCGATTGTGGAAGACCGTTCAACAGGGGTTGCAGAATAAATCTTGTGGAGTGGCGACATCATCACCCCGCAACCTCTTACCCGCAGATGCACACCTATCGTTACTCTATCGCTATTTCCATGGCAAATGTTTAGATGAGATCCATTGTTTATTTTCACCAGTTTAGACCTAACGCCATATTGTGAGGGATCACTCATTCTCATCTCTGAATCTCTTTCCTCACAGACGTACGTCGCCACCCAATCATTACTCTATGCCTATTTCCATGGCAAATGTTCAGATGGACTCCATTGTTTATTTCCACCAGTTCAGACCTTCACAACCTGGACACGCCATGCTATATCCACCGAGTCAAATAAACCCCCGTGTCTTTCAACCTGATGCAACCGTAAGCCCTTAAAAGAGGAAGTTTGGTTGCCTTCGAGTTAATGTAATTAATATTCATTATCTTCCTGAAATCTTCAAATAATTTTCTTCATGGACCTAAATTTTTTCTGCTTATTACAGTTTTAATTTTTCCTCAAATTTATCTTTGTAATATTTTAAAGATTTCTGCTTGTTCTTATCTTGTCAATGTCTTCAATCATTTTTTTTATCATTGTATTGTCTCTGTTTAATTTAGTCACAATTTTCAACGTTGTGTACCAAACACTCACTAACTTGACAATATCTTGTTTTTCCTTTGAGGCTGTATCATTCTCAAGACCAATGGCAATGCTTGAAATTAAAAATTAAATATCACTAAACTATACTATTATATGTACATTTATTGACAACATGTGGAACCATGAATTTAGGTAATACTCGTACAGGTAAAAATGTCACTGGTAAAAATTGGCATGAGTGTAAAAAGAGGAAATAATCTCCATCTACTGGTAGTTTATCTTATAATCTGTTTTGTATATATGTATAGAGGAGGCACGGCGGAGTAATGGAAAGAGGCACGGATTGGGGAATTAGAGAGCCAAGTTCGAATTCCAACGTTAATACCTTTAGGAAAGATATGAATTAAGAAGAGGATTCTATGGGTAAATAGCAGGACAGACCGTGTTCTTGGATGGAAACTGGTCTACCGCAGAAAGAAATGGCAACCTACTGCGGGAAAAAAAATCTGCCTCGTCAGTCATGTATCGAAAGATACATGATCGCCTAAGCACAATTGACTGATATCTAAGACAACGGGTGTACAGCACTGATGTTATATCTACAATACCGAGCCTTGTTAACAATTCGGATGAGGTGGGGTTTCATATTGTGGCTTGGTGCCACAGATCCAGTTAAGGGCCCAGAAATAAGGTGTCATTATGAGAACCTTACTTTGTTTTCCAGGAGTAAGCCTATATCTTTAAACATTTAATATGGAACACCACAAATTATTAAGCCTTTTCAAATCAAAAAGATAACTAGCTTTTAACTGTGGTTCAATTTAGGACCATAAAATGACACTAATGTTGTCCAAAGCCTATAACTCCTTAGCCTTGCATATACGAGGTGTGATATTTTAATCTTATGAATTCTATGTTTCATGTCCTTAGGCAATGTTTTCCCTTATGCCTATGTAAAAAATCATTTATTTGTGTGTGTTGCATTTGTGGGCACAACACTCGGATTTTAATTTTTCACTTTTAATCTGAGTAGACTGACCCAACACATGTCATTAAATTAAATATTCAAAGAAGATATTTAAATTACTATAATATTCCTTAAAATTCTTATAGCCCAGTCTGTTGTTACAGTTTCCAATTTTTTGGCACTTACCTTGTTGCAAAGAGCAGTATTTAAAATATATACTCTTTTACAAACAAAAAAACAAGCTACTTAGGAAAAAAATTGCTTAATTTTTTTACTAACAACTGAAATCTAATGCAAGAGAATATGTTAAAACCAACTTGGTACAAGAAACAATCCCAAATAAGCAACAAAGACAGTAAAATTTGATGGTATGAGTTTCATGTTCTTAGGCAATGTTACAAAAAAGTTAATAAAAATCAAAGAAACACTAAACAGCAAAAATATACTACTTTGTTAAAGCCTTATCTATTACCAGGAATTTTGGTCTATTTATTTACTTCTTGTTCAGTTGTCCGGGGACGGTCAAGTACACACCATTGATGTCAGTGGCTCTACCACAACACCATCATGGAAGTCATCAAGTCAAGATCGAGAGTTTGGATTATACTGCTGTGGGTTTCCCAGTGACAGGGGAAGACAGCATTTGGCCAGCTCTCACACCTACTTTACAAGCAACCCTGTCAAGTGGGCTAATACAGGCAAGGCCTCACTCTCACACAACCCTCCCAATGCAGTCCTTCCATGTCTTCCTAGGTCTACCTCGATGGGTGCTTGCTGGATTTGCCATGATGGCTGAACCCTGCCTACCACACCCGAGAGTCAGCTAAGCCTGAGAAGTTACTGGAACCATTACCAGCACTACTTATCGTTGATTTTGTAAGAGAACTAGCTATATTATTGGTTTCAATAATGGGATAATTTGAGTTGGGATGATATCTAGGACTGCCTGACCCAGCTATCATCCCAACTCAAATCTTTGTGGTATTTGTGAAATCCGCCGTTCCCACACCAGGGCTGTGTACCTCACCGTTGTTCACACGGTGTGGATCAAATCACGGAAGTCATATTAAGTAATAAAGGAAAAGAGAAGATTTGATTCCAAGGCTACATATACGAAACGTTGTCAGCCTTTTAAAAATGTGTCGCTATTAATATGGCAGATGTTCGTACAAGTTAAATTCCTTAGTTCAATCATATCAGATTTTCATAGCTAGAACCAACCATGCCATGTACCCGGTAGCAAGCCATCCGCATTCCCTCCGTATCCCTTTGATAAGGAGCAAGTTCCAATCAAACAGTTTCTTACCCAGAACAGTTGCTTTATAGAACAATCTCCCAAGAGGACGTTTCCCTGACAGTATAATAATAATAAAATCTCGCATCAACAAATATTGTAAATAGTTCTGTGATTTCGAGTTAACCTTTTCGCAATTTGCAACATCGCTCAATAACTATACACTGCGTGCCAAATAATTATCGAGATAACTTTTTTCTAATATTTCAAAAACCGTCCAATCAATTCACACAAAATTTTCACACAATGTTGGCAACACTGAGCTGCGCAAAAGTTAACTCGATAATAATTTGGCACGCAGTGTACATAAACTTCTTTTTCTTTTGTTTCTTTTCACCCCAAATAAGGCGAAAAAGTAACTAAGACGCAAGTGGTAGAATCTGAGGAAAAAAGGACATTAAGGAGAGAGGCTAACAAAAGAACAGGAATTTAGGGGCCCGAAGATAACGATTGACAGTGCATTTAAATCTTGAAGATCAAAGTTGACTCGTAAGCAAGAAGAGATTTCCACAAGCTAGAAGTGCGGGAGAAAAAACTGTTAGCATAGAACTTACGGTTGCATCTAGCTATTTCAACCGTAAAATGATGAGACCTTGCCGCCAATCTAGTAAAGTTGATGCACCAAAAAGGAAAATTCACCAGAACAATTACCATGAAAGTATTTATAGAAAAGGCACAGTGAAGCTACGTTACGGCGGGGGTGGAGGGGATGGGAGTGAGTGAAGCCGAGATGCCAGGTTAGGACCGTTGAATTCATAGGCACATCTCCACTATATAAATAGCAGTTGATACAGCTGGAGGCTAAAATAATCCTAGCCTTTTCGTTGGGATTGATATTCACTGAATATTAGCTCTGGTTTCCTCCCAGGCAGTATCTCTCTCTCGGGAGGGGTTAGATCTATTGTCCCGTGCCTTAGGCGTCCCCAACAAGGGAAGTGCTGTGGGAGCTTGGAAATGTTTGCGCAGTAAAAACCAAACGGTTAATACATTTTCGATCGTTGCAAGCCACATGGGGATGAAAACATTCTCTAATGAAAACCAGATTCAAGAGGTGGCCAGAAACTTTATCGCGTTCAAAACCTTCAGAATTTTACTCAGAGGCTATCGAAGAGTTGCCAGATAAGCGAAAACAAGTCAATGCATTTAATGCTGACTAAAATGTAATTGGATTTATTTTTTGAAGATTAAAACGATAAACAAAACGGAATTTATGTGACTCATCCTTGATACATCTGGTATTTATATGCAAATCTCTATTTTATAAATAGTAGTTGATACAGCTGAAGCCCGAACAAATCGTAATCTTTGACTGGGATTTATACTCTTTGAATATTAGCCCCCCCCCCCCGGCAGTATCTTGCCCTTGTGCGGTATGGCCATTAAACCCACTTTAAACATCGACCTTATATCACATCCGGTTGAGACGTGGGCACCCTGGCAAAAACTACAAATCCTAACCCTGAAGATGAAACTACTGGGGAAATAGTAGCGAATCCTTTAACTAATTATAGTTCACAACGTTGTATTCGTTACTATTGCTTGGTTCTTGACATACTAAAACCTAAAATTCTGGATCTAGATAGTATGACCCCTCGGGGCAGAGAAAATATAGAATCATTGTACCGAACATTTTTAAACTTCCTCAAACATATTGAGCGGGGTCGGGAGAGGAGTTGATATTCTTATAAATTACGTGTCATCTGATGTATACAAACTGTTCAGTGAATATACAGACATTGAAGAAGTTATTAACATTCCAAGAGAGTTTTCGTCCAAGAAAAAATGTTAGATATACGCTAGGCATATACATGTAACCAGAACTCAACAGGCTGGACAAACATTGGATCAATATCTTCAAGCATTGCACGTTCAGGTGAAGGACGGTAAATTCAAAGATGTTACTGCTCAAGTTTACAATGTGGAAGCTATTCGAGATTACTCTATTTCTTGATTATCTGTACCTCCTTTTCAACAGAGACATCTTGAAAAAAAGGCTCGCTCGCATTCGCACCTAATTATAAGGATTTCTCATAAAAACAAATATCAGAAATTCACATCTTACATATAAAGTACAATGTATGTGTGTGTGTTTG